ACACACACACACACACACACACACACACACACACACACACACACACAGTGATTCACTTGATGTTTTCTCCCTCTCATTACATTTATGACATTTCCTCTCACGATGATTTATTTTCTCATTCAATCCAGGTGTCTTAAGTTCATGACCTTTTCTTTTTTTAATTATTTGCATATTTTGTTTGTACTAAATACAATAAAAATTTCACTTGGTTAAGGTTGATGTGTTATAAGTTATTCTGTGAGTCTTTATTAACATAAAACTGAGCAAGTTATTAAGAATATTATTTTACAACTTCCATTTTGTCATGAAATTGTAGTCTAAATGAAACTAAACCTAATTAACTCTGGTTTATTTGATGGTCTTTGGTAAGAACCATACACATGTGCACAAGGTTTCTCACAGTTTAAAACAGAGGCAGAGCCTTTAGAATAAAATGTTTACAACAGAGCTTTAGGGCCACGCTACATAAAAAAACAAAACAAAAAAAAAAAAACATTGCCACATTAAGAAAAAAGTTGAAAGCTATAAAATTATGAGAATAAAGTCGAATGAAGTCTTAATATTACAAGAATAAAGTCGAACGAGACTTTTTTTTACAGCTGTCGTTTATTTTTTTTCCATGAGTCGGATACTTGACGCGACCTGTCAATCAATCCGATAGGCGTGTAAGCAAATGACCAATCTGAAGCTAAATGAGTCGTAATATTATCCCAACTCCGACACGATAAAGCAGAGTTTACTGCATTTTAACTGCGGTAAAATGAAGAATGTTTGTTAAACGTTATTGTTATTGACGCCCTTACTCAAAACATGTTCCAGTACTGCCACCTACTGTTGTGTTTTTGTATGCGGCTTCTGGGATGCATATACGTGACGTCATTACGTTATGACTTTCATTTTTGTTTCCGTTTGAAAACGGCGCTCAGTGAGCGAAACTGTGCGTGCAGCGCTGTTAGAGGTCTTCAATAAATATGCCAGAAAGAGACTGAAGAGACACAGCGACTCACTTATTTCTGTTTCGCTGCAACGCCAACACATCTGCACTACAATCCATTCAACAATGTTGAGCATATGTATATATATATATATATATATATATATATATACATATATATATATATATTAGGGATGCACCGATCCACATTTTTTTACTTGCGATCCGATCCCGATACCTAAATCTGGATATCAGCCGATATCGATCTCGTTCCCGTTCCGATATCATCATTATTGATTTTATATGAGGCTGTAATAATTTCCTCTCAAGTACAATTAGTACA